GGTAAAAGTCACACACATCTCACACACACACACACACACACACACACACACACACACACACACGTACACACACACACACACACGTACACAGGTGTATCATCTGTAGTTTCAAAAAATTTGACAACTAGATTCTAAAGGATGTTATATCCCGAATATGCTACTTTGGGACAATTATAGGGAGAGATTTCCCCTGAACTTTTCTTTTCTGCAGAAAGATATGTCTTCTAAAAGGAACTCATTTGTCCTGAGTCACTTCCCTGGTGATCTCGTCAACTGTGGCTGACTAGACAGTTATCACTGGAGAGGACCATACAGTGTAGTATCATACCCTGGAGTTTAGGACAAACTGGAGTTTAATGTCATGAAAAGGAAAGGCTTCACTGTCACCACTTTTTCTCAGGACCCATTCACTTTTCTTTAAAAAAAAAAAAAAGGATATAGTTGCCTCCATTCACCTTCATCTCCCTTATGATGAAGACAGATAAATTTCTAAATTTCATCGTGCAAGGAGCCTTGCTCCAAATGGGTCCAATGACCTAAGATGGATTTGTTATGCATATTTGACATTCATTTTTCTTTCATGTTGATGCCTTTTTGTACATCAGACATTTTGTATTCATTTTCTTCTGTTAATCTGCCTTCTGTCAGTTTATTTAATAGGCTCAATTACTGACAGCCCTGAGAGAGTACAGCCAAACTCTTCCCTCTTAAACACATCCCATTTAAGCCCAGCTATCTTACGAAGTATCTATTCTGAAAGTATATACTGTCATCTCCACTTTTCCACATGAGAAAACTGAGGTGGTCAAAGACAAGTAAGAATGACTTGTATTACTTCACATGGCTGAAATGTAAATCATTTAAGATTCAAATGAGGATCTATCTCCAAAAACCCACGTTCCCTTCAACTGCCTCCAACCACTAAGTGCACCATAGTTACCCCGCTGATTTCTATGTGGATTAACAGTAGTACCAAGTATTTAATACCAGTCCCTGCCAAATTCCTAAGCACACTCTACTCAGTTGGTTTGCCAGGGACTGTCAACATTTTTTGCCTTTGTTTTTTGAGATGTGAATCTTACTATGTTGCCCAGGTTGTCCTTCAATTTCTGGGCTTAAGGTACTCTTTCACTTCAGCCTTCCAAGTAGCTGGGACTACAAACATGCACCACCACATCTGAATTGTCAACTTATTTATAATCTTATTGTTCAGGGGTTGTCAATTCCTAATTTTTTTAAAATATTCAGCCAAAATAAACAAACACAGGAAATGAAATTCAGTGGGAAAGAAAGGCCTACAAGGTAGCTGGGGGATGCTGTTAAGTGATATAGTGTTTACTTAGCATGTACAAGGCCCTGCACTCAGATCCTAGTATTACTGCTGCTGAGGATGGAATTCAAGACCTTGTGCATGCTAGGCATGTGTTCTATACTGTGGTTTTACATTCTTTGTATCTTTCCATATACGTCATTGAGCTCAGGACCCAAAAGGTACTTCTTAAACAGTATTCACAGACATCCCATGAACAAGTTCTTTGGAATTCTAGGTAGTCTAGCTCATTGTAGAGAACTTCACGCCCTATTCAGTTACCAAACAATTTTGGTGCCAACTGCATGGTTGGTAGTATGCTAGGTTTTTGGGAACAGAAATATTGTAAAGGTGTGAATCTTATTGCCAAGAAGCTCAGTTTAGTGGTGAGAAAACCATATGAAACACTCAAAATATGACATGATACTTGATATCATTAAGGTATGTATGTTCAATGTGCAATGAAAGCATGAAAGAAAATCTGAAGTAAGAGAATATGTACATTGATTCTTGAAGGTTTTGCAGGTGGCGAGTACTTCTAGTGAAAAGTACTAGCTTGGGCTAATGTGCAGAGGTCTGAGAAGAGATAGTGAATTTAGCAATGTGGTAGCATGACTTCTTTAAAGGGTAGCAAATAATAATGTTGAAATGGAAGATTATATGACAGCCAAGGAGCCCATACCTTGGTATCAGACAAGTAAGATAAATGACCGAGAAGGACAGACCGGAATCCAGGGGTGGCAAGGGTTATGTAGAACTTGATTATTCCTGTTTATCTCAAAGGGACAGTTCTAGCTGGGTGTAGCCATATGGGCATGTAGATCCAATGTTAACAGGTCATGTGATTTTTTTTTTGTTTTTATATTTAGATAACCAGGGAAGCTGTATTCTAAAAACATGAAACCTCCAGATTTCTAAATGCTAGAATTGAATTTCCTTTTTCATTCCAAGTTTTAGCTAATATTATACCAAACACAACACATTTGTTTTCTGGATGTGGCCTACAGTTTTATCATTTTTAGACCTATGCTGTAGGGGACAGGGCACTATGCAAACAGAAGCAAACTGAAGCAATGCATCAACACACACACAGCATATTAATAAAAGGGAGCTTGTGGGCCAGGAGTGTAGCTGAGTGGTAGAATGCCTGCCTAGTGTATATGAGACTTCTAAGTTCAATCCACAGTGCTTCATTAATATAATGATAATTATTATTATTATAACCACATCTATTTCTCACTGCCCTGGCTCACTGTGATATTTCTGCCTCTCAGGAATTAAAATGAGGTCCTAGGTCAAAAGCAATTCGGAAGGCTTCTGAGGGTAATGGTGAAAACAAGGTCTTTCTTGGTTCAGTCATTAAAAGAAGGGCCACAGTGAGATGGCTCAGCTGATAAAGGTGTTTGCTGCTCTCCAGTGCAAATCTGATGACCTCACTTTGACACTGGGAACTTATGCAAAGGTGGAGAGTGAAACAGATTCCACAAAGTTCTCCTCTGACCTCCCCATGTGCTCAGTGGCATGTGAGCCCCCCCCCATCATACACACACACACACACACACACACACACACACACACGTACATGTACACACACATACACACACTCTAATAGGGATACATTTTAAAAATTTTAAAGCTGGTAGAACATGGAGGCTGAAACCATTAAAACCCTTGATAATCACCACCTACCACCACAACCACCACTACCACCACAACCAGGAGATGGATGTCATTCCTTTCCCTTTCATTTTAGATGAAGATAAAGTAGCCTCTTTAAACTGTGTGTGCAATAAATTCAACATAGCCAGTGATGAGACAGATAAGGCACAATGTAATAGCCGGTACAGTTTCAATTCTTCGTTTTACAGTTGGAGAAACCAAGCCAGTGTTTCCCCCACTCCCTTGGAAAAGTACGTTGCTTTGCTCAGAGTGACCCAACAAACTAGTGGCAGAGTGAGGCCTCCTGACTTCTGGTCTAGCATTCTTTCCAATAATCCTGGCTGTGATAATTAAGGTAAATCGGCCTGGCGGCTTTCCTAGCATCTAGAATTCCTGGTCTGGACAAGTAGATCTTGAGAGCTGCTGTTGCAAGCCTTTCTTTTCCTCCTTATCTGTGTGATGATGAGGGTTTTTTTTTTTTTCTTGCAAACTTTCTGTTTCATGGGTAAAGGTTAAAAAGAGGACAGAAAGATGTTTTTGAAGCACTGAGACCATTCACAAGGCTGTGAAGAAAAACTTGTCTGGGGCTGATGTATTTCAAGTTTATGACCTCTGGGCTCTACGCACTGACCTCTCCACCAGATGCTTTTGGTTTTGTTTTTCTTTTGTCTCCTTTGCTATATTCTTCTGTGTTGTTCTTCTCCCTTATCAGCCTAGGTTTAAGGCCTACCCTTAAGTGCTCTGGGACATCACTGAGCCTTCTCAGTGGCTTTTACTATGCTTGCTTCAAGTCAATAGAATTGCTGATTATTCCTTTCTCAAGTGCATGGAAATGAGAGTGCTTGCTCTGCTCCAGCCACTTAACTCTCTAAAATCCGAGACCAGTAACTCTTGTCAACTGTGACTCTTGACAACTAATCTTTTCCATTCTTCATTTCCAGGTCTATTGTTCTGACATTTGCCATTTTTTTTTCTCTGACCCTGTTCCTGATTGGTGCAGCTGTTGAAGATGCTGCAGTTGCAGCATGTACATCTGGAACATTTGGCTGACTTGTTGAACTTCCCCCAGGGAGTACTCCAGGGGAAGCATGGGAAGGGTGGAGAGGCCAGAACAGTTGCCTGCAAGTAGAGATGCCAATAGTGTCTGGCCATTCTGTGGACCACCCTTGTAAAAATTCACCTCGTTGTGACCCTCAGTTTCCCCACCTGCTCATTGAAGGCTCATGTTCTTTCAAAACTTCGGCAGCCCTGGAAGAAGATAAACTTTTGGCTGTGAGTTCTCTCACACAGCACTGTGAAAGGGATCAATGCATATCTGTTGAATGAATTAACATGTCAAGAAATCCTAGGAAACTGTTTTACCCTTCAAGGGACAGCATCACTTCAGCTCCACTTGGCACTAGGCACTTGGCACTAGGCTTTGACTGTGCCCCCAGACTCACTCTGGGAGTGAGACTGCCTGATTCCCAGTCTGTTTGGCTCCCAGGCTCCTAGGTCTCCTTTTCTTCTGGCGAGCCATTGAATTGCAAACACAGCAGGCATGGTTTCATTCCAAACCCTGAACTGTTTTAATTAGTTTAACGTCTGTTAAACGCTTTGAAGATTGAAAGCAACAGATAAGTACTGGATGATGTTATTAACAACTGCAGTTAATTGCAAACATTTCTATTAATGCTAGTTTCTGCCTCCTTTTCTTTGCTCCACGTTCTTTCCAAGGTTCCCAAATTCTTCTCAGCCTCCCCCCCTCCTGCCCTCCCCCATAGCTGCGCTGAAGGGTTAAACCAGGGTGGAGTCCGGAGATGAACGACAGCGGCAGTCACCAACTACAACGGGGCAAGCGGGAAGAGCTGGGTGGGGCTGCCAGGCAGAGGTGAACCCCCACGCCCCCAGGCCCCGCCCCACGGCTGGAGGCCCGAGTGGAACGGCAGGGGGCGGGGCGCCCAGGCCTGGCGGGCTCGTGGTTGGGCGTCCCGGCCGCCCCTTGAGGCATGGGGCGGGGTAGGTGAGGACCTCCTCCCTCATTCCCTCTTGGGCCGAGCCGCCCCTCTCTCCCGCCCCTCCTCCTCCTTTTCCCACCCCTCGGAGTGGAGCTGCACATGCGGCTGCTCCCTGTTCTGTCCCGCCCAGCCACCGTCGCTCAGGAACGGGTCCCTGCAGCCCCCAGCCGATGGCAGGACAGTAGCCGCCTGTCAGGGGTCGTAAAGGGCTGAGGCAGAGGCAGAGGCTCCCGGGCCTCAGATAGTGGCTGTCTCTGGAGGCCATGGGCTACCCCGAGGTAGAGCGCAGGGAACCCCTGCCTGCAGCAGCGCCAAGGGAGCGGGGCAGCCAGGGCTGCGGCTGTCGCGGGGCCCCTGCTCGGGCGGGCGAAGGGAACAGCTGCCGGCTCTTCCTGGGTTTCTTTGGCCTCTCGCTGGCCCTCCACCTGCTGACGCTGTGCTGCTACCTAGAGTTGCGATCCGAATTGCGGCGGGAACGGGGCACCGAGTCCCGCCTCAGCGGCCCGGGTGCTCCTGGCACCTCTGGCACCCTAAGCAGCCCTGGTAACCTCGACCCTGTGGGTCCCATCACCCGCCACCTCGGGCAGCCGTCCTTTCAACAGCAGCCTTTGGAACCAGGAGAAGATCCACTCCCCCCTGACTCCCAGGACCGGCACCAGGTGAGTCACCTAGGAGGGGCGGCGGCCTTGGAGGCCCCCTCCCCTGCTAGGTTGGGCGGGGGCCTGCGCCGCAGGGCTCGGGGGACTCTGCCACTCCGAGCCAAGTTACAGGGCAGGACCCGGGAGTGGGCCGGAGAGCTAGGGAGAGGTTGTCCAGGGCAGGTTGTCCTCAGTTCCTGTCTTGGCTCATCCAGACCCTCTCGGGTCCCATGGACTTGGAAAGCTCAGCCTGCATGCGCCGCCCCCGGGGGGGTGTGGGCTGCTTCGGGAAAAGTTGGCTGGCCTCGCACCCCAGCCGGCAGAGAGGTGCCTGCGCCGCCCCCGTGGCCGTCTAACGGCGAGCAGCTTGGCCCCTGGTGCCCCTGGTGAGGTTCCCTGCCCGCGGTGCTTGTTTCTTCGTGTCCCGAGCCGATGCCAGCACTAGCAGGCTCCTCTTTGGAGTTGGAGCTGTAAACAGCTGTAATAACTGCTCCACGCCCGTCGAAACAACTTTTAACCGTACTTTCAGCGCCGGGTTCTTGTGCGCTGACCAGAACGTGAGCTTTTTCACACTTACCTGCAATTTGAGACTGATTGTCCTCGGTGTTCTAGAGAGGATCAGCGCCCCTGAGGAATTCTGGTAGAAATATGCCGTCTTGCTAGACAACTTCTGAACAGCAATTTAAAAAATCTATGGAAATAAAACTCACCCTTTGCATGCCGGTTCTGACACTCTTGTTGATGGAGTGGGGTGCAGCGGGTGTGAAGAATTTTCACGATCGCTAGCTTCAGAACAGGAAGTTGGATTTCTGTTTTGTTTTTGGTATTCTTTCGAGTGTTTGTATCCCTTTTAGCAAACCATTAGCTTGGTTGTTTTCCTAACTCTTTCTTCAAGTAAATTCAGTGTACTTGGTTGCCAGAGTTGTCTTACATGTGAATCTTACTTAGGCAAGGCAACCAAGGATCTTTTTGAGGTGGTTAAAGACTAATGGTTAGTTTGTACCTTTTTGAGAAAACGACAGGTTGTATAAGTAACTTACTTATACAAGGCGAGGCATGGAAGCCTGTATTTGGTGCTACATTCATAGTCATTGTCACAACTCTTGGAACATTGTGTTACTTTGACCTTCAAAGTTGTACACTTTAGAGCTGTCACATTCATAACAATACTCTGTCAGGACTGACACTTTTCTCTTTTACAGTGTGCTTTGTAAAATTGCCCCAGCCCAAAAATGCCTTTCAAATACGCTCCAATTTATGTAACAGCTTATCAAAGAAGAGAATCTGCAGATGTGCTTCTCATACTTGAAACTTTAAACACGATGGCTGGATGATAATTAATTAGGACTCTGGGTCTTTTATTTCCCTGCTCCTCATCCCCAGTAGAAGTATTTAACAGCTGCACATTAATATTCTGTAAAAAGTATCAGAGAATTCAACTTCTTTACTCAAATGGTGGTCAAGGATTTTTGGCATTCGGGGTGGACAGAGTCATGTTTATAGATTGGGGATTAGCAGGCCAGCTGTATTCTAGAGCTTCTGTGATGGCAGGGGACACTCACGGCTTTGTAATGGCATTTAGTTGCTGACACTTGTGTAACACTAAAATACTCAGGTGTTTCGACACAGTTTGAAACAACAGAGTTTCTTATCTCTTGTCCTTTAGTCTTTGTATTTTAGTCCTTTGGGACAGTCGAAACAATGATCGTAGCGCTTTACATTTTTTTGGTATCAACTTGGAATTGAAGTTTTTCAGATTTGTAAGGTACCACCTGAGTCTATTTTATTGATTCCTTTGGAAAACATATAGGCCCCGAGGGAGAAGTAAATGGCCCAGCATATCATAGCTTGAGTCAAAACTAGGATGAATTTGCTCCTTCATCTTCCAGTTTAGTACACATTAACCCATCCTATAGTGTCTACGAAAAAGAAAATTTGAGAGGAATGAAGCAACAACAGGTTGGAGCTCCATAGTGGACTTTCTACAAAATGACAGGCTCAGATTTGTGTCATTTTGTTCTGCTCTGACTACATTTTGACCAGATTAAGTTTAATCATATGCTCCTTGTTTGTCTTGAACTTCACTTTCAGGAAAATTGAAATGTAAGTGAAGAAATTTTAGCTCAGATTCAACTTGTTTCTCTTGAGAATATTAGTTTTAGCCTATAAATAAACAAACAAACAAACAAACAAACAAATAAATAAATAAGGAAAAGTTGATTGGCTAATCGAGTTAAATTGATGTGCTATATCTTGGGTAGAATTTCTAGTGCCCTGGTGCACCCTCTGCTGGTTTTACAGTGACATTTAATTGTACTATCTGCTGACAGTCAAAATTCTAAGTTGTGCTGACAGATTCTGATTCATAAATAAGGAAGTAAACCGCCTCGTGGGACTGGGCCACATAGGTCATATTTTATATTTCAGTTTTTCAACATAAGCAGCTGCTGTTACAGCAAGTCTTGGACAGAGAGGACCAGAGACAAAACCATGCATCCTCCAGTGGGCAATACATTTGGGTTTCCTAGCAGTATATTTAGAAAGAGTGAAGGCAAGCTGGTGACACTGAACTGTGGGGAGCAAAACAGTCAGCGGCATTTCATTATGTAAGGTCATACATCTATTTAGGCAAAGGTGAAATTACCTATCCTTATGAGATGATTGGACTGTGGGCTCTCTCCAATTATGACTCAAGGAAGGACTCTAGAAATCACTGAAGGTGTATGTATAGCATATTGCAATAAAAAAAAGATACAGAAGGAATTCGGGTCATAAAGCAGGAACATCGGAAAATTTCTGCAAGGGAGTTGTTAGAAACGTAGGGACACGGTTGCTGATCATAAAGAATGAGAGGTAGCATCTGGAGTCATGGGCTGTCTCCTTTAGCTGAAGGAGATAAGGAGCTGTATCTGGATGCTTAGGAAGGATTAGCTTAAGAGCTAGGGATACACCAGTAGTGCCTGAATTTGATAACAAATAATTAAAAACATTAAAAATCACTGGATCACACTATAGAGAAAAAGGTCTGGTCATGATTATATCCCTCAGATGTCAAAAACATGGTGGAAAATCTCAGGAATGTGTCAACAACAAAACAAAACTTTTTTCCATGAAGAAGATCAAAAGTGATTTTTTGTCTATCATCAGACAGAAAATCCTGGTGGCTGCTCCTCAAGAAAAAGCTAGCAGCCGATTGATAAAAGTCTCCAGAAACCCAATTAAATTGATCAAAAGGGGAGTTTTTAGTTGTTTTTTTTCAGTCTGGAGAGAGAGGGAGAGAGAGAGAGAGAGAGAGAGAGAGAGAGAGAGAGAGAGAGAGAGAGAGAGAGAGAGAGAGAGAGAGAGAGAGAGAGAACGAACACAGTCTTCCAAATCAGGAGAGAGATGAGTATGGTTAGTATGTTCGTGTAATTTAATGATCTAAGCTGAATAAATAAATAAAATTTTCTCTGTGTTAGCTACAGTGTTAAGTATTAGATTCTTTTAATGTTTGAAAAATTTATGTTGAGAGAGATAAATAAAGGTAGCATCTCATAATCTAAACTACAGGCAGATCAATAGAAATTTATTCAGGACTGTTGGAGTTGTTTGAGGTACATTCCTAATTATTTGGGGTGATGTCATAGAAGGCAGCTTTAATGTTCTACAGAGATCTTTAGGTATAACTAGATATATCATTAGCATACTAAGATTTGATATCCCTAATAACTAAGTATCATTCTAGGTGATCATGTTGACCACTAGTAAGCCCACGAATTATGGAATCTAAATAAGTTGTTTATGGAGTTTAAATGTGTTCACTAAGGCTTCTGATGAACTGGTTTCATGATATCCCTCTCATTTTCACTCTCACTAATTTCACTCCTGGAAGTCACCCACCAAATTCTCTTTGAGGATTATTCTGTAGTTGTTACTGATTTTCGTCTTACCACATCTGCCTTTACATTAAAGATCATCAGAAATCTACCTTCTGTAGTGTGTTTTATGATTCCTATCAGCACTAGTTATAGCTAAGTAGAAAAATAGTTGTTGAACTGAATAATTTGGGACTTGGGTAACATTTTATGTAAAACAAAGGCATTTTATAAAACAGGCCTGTTTCTGTCTGGTCCTACTAAGTCTGTGAACTGTCAGTTTTGCTTAGGTAAATAGTTCCATTGGTAATATTTCACTGGTTTCTAAAATAATTAGAAATTGAAATGGAAAAGAAGAGTCCTAACCATGTGATCCATTTCCTATTTTCACACTTTCCCTCTAAGATGGTACTAAAAGCTTTTGGTAATACATCGTTTGATATTTTATTTGCTTTTAGGCTTCATCTTTCTCTCTTAGATCTTGTGAAAAATGATCTGTAATTTATCTGTAACTACCTTAGAGAGAAGATCTCTTTATACTAGAGAATTTCTGAAGCGATTTTAATTCCCAAGAACATTACCAAGAAAAGCCTTGTGCCTTTGTCTGTAAGGCAGCCGTTGGAGAGAACCATCTTTGTAAATACCCAGCACTTATTTCCTCATTTCTATTCTTTTTTTCACATTTTATTGACATATAATACAAATACAGAAAAGCATACACATCGTAATTGTACCATTTGATGAAATATTACAAAGTGAGCACACTCATCTTGCTTGTACCTAAGTCAAGAAATAAATACTTTTAACATCCTGTAAACCCTTAATTGTGCCCCTTTATCACTGTATAATCTTCACTCTCCAAAGATAATGAATGTCCTGACTTCTATTACCAAAAATAATTTTGTTCATTTTGAACTGTACATAAATGAAATCAGATAGATGTAGTCTTTTGAGTCTTATGGTTTTTGGTTAACACTATATTTGTGATAACCATACTGTGACAGACAGAGATATTTTTTAATTTTTAATTTTGTATATTCTGCTATTGAGATATATCATAATTTATAAATTCCTTATCATGGTAATAAAATATCAATTATTTCCAGTTTGGAATTATTATCAATAGTGATGTTTTGGATAATTTTATGCATGTCTTTTGGTTCCAAT